GACGGCCCCGGAGGCCCCCAAGCTCGCCCCAAAAGAGCCCAAGAGGCCTCCACAAGGACCCCAAAACGGCCCAAGAGGGCCCCAACACGGCCCAAGAGGCCTCGAAAACAGCCCCAAGAGCTCCCCAAGACGGCTCCGAGCAGGGGCCCAGACGGGGGACCCAAACGGACATTTCGAGCCTCCGCTTCGAGAGGCCCCCAAGAGTCCCCCAAGAGGCCCCAAGGAGGCACCCAAGAGGCCCCCTGAACCCCCAAGAGGCCCCCAAAAGGCTCCTAGGCCCCCGAGAGCGCTCCGAAGAAACACCAAGAAACATCCCTGAGGACTCTGACGCAAAACCCAGCACGGTGGCAGGATGGGCCGAAGGCCATTAGACCCTACTTTCATTTCTTCCGACTAACGGATCGCATGCTACGCGCGCTTTCCGTCATCCGCCGCCCCCTGTTGATTCATCACAGGGGTGCCCGGCGTACTAGACCCTTTCGCTTTTGGTTTTGGTTCTTTTCCAAAAGAACTCCCCCTGGGGTTTCGGCCCGTCCCGCAGGAGATGTGTAACAGGTGGTTGCAAAGAGTTTTTCGGCTCAGATGGCGCAAGATGGCCTCCAGGTTCGCCCAAGATGGTCCAAGATGGCCTCCAAGACGGCCCAGGAGAGTCCAAGATGCCTCCAAGTTCGCACAAGGAACCTCTCAGACGGCCCAAGACGGCCCCAGAGGCCTCCAAGAGGCCTCCAAGACGTCCCAAGAGGCATCCAAGAGATCCTCCACAAGAGCCCGAAGAGGTCAACAACAATGTTTTCCCTAGGTTTTTGTTGGATTTTGACTTTTGTTCTTTTCGAGCCTTCCGACGGCTCACGACGGCCCAAGGAGCCCGAAAGATCGCCCCCAGAGCGCCCAAGAGGCCTCCAAGATGGACCTATGACGGCCCAAGAGGCCCCCACGACGGCCCCAAGAGGGCGCCAAGACGGCTCTGGAGGCCTCCAAGACGCCCAAGACGGTCTCCAAGACGGCCAAGATGGCCTCCAAGATGCTTCCAACACGGTCAAGATGAGCTTCAAGACGGCCAAGATGGCCGCTAAGACTGCCAAGATGGCCCAAGATGGGCCCGAGAGGTTCCAAGATTGCCCCAGAGGAGTCCAAGAGGTGCTCCAGGAAGGCCCGAGGGAGCCAAAATCGTCAATCTTCCTCGGTTTTGGTGTTCCGACCGCCTGAGATGGCCCAAGGCGCTCCAAAACTAGTCCCAGAGGCTCCCAGATGGCTCCAGAACGGCCCAAGAGGCCTTCAAGCCAGCCCCAAGAGGGCCCCAAGACGGCCCAAGAGACCCCCAAGACGCCCAAGATGGCCTCCAAGACGGCCAAGATGGCCTCTAAGATGCCTCCAAGACGGCCAAGAAGGCCTCCAAGACGGCGAAGATGGCCCCAAGATGCACCCAAGACGGCCCCAATGGCCTGAAGATGGCCTTAGACTGCCCAAAAGGCCCGCCAGAGGCCTCCAAAACGGCCCAAGACCCCTCCAAGACGTCCTCCAGGAGGCCCGAAAGCTCGGAAACCACCTGGTCCGATAGCTCGCCCGAGTCTGTGTTCCCCGAAGGCTTTCGAAACTCACTCGGGGAACGGGTGGCCCGATAGCTTGGCCAAGCTCAAACCCAACTTTCGGCCACGCAGGCGCTTCCAAAAAGGCAGGGGGCGGCGATGATTCGCCGTAGGCGTCTTCGATATTTGATGGTCCGGGAACCCGAACAGGGCCTCCAGAGCCCGAAATGAATGAAAACTGCTGGCGAAGATCGAAAATCGACGGAAAGACCCGTGGGCCCCCAGGAGGTCAGCCCGACGACCACCGAACGGGCTGGCGCGAGGAATTGGGCTACCCTGGTTGATGCTGCTGCTTCACACTGAAAACTACCAGCCGCGCCCGCGGCAGCGCCCTCGACCTTCGATGCGCGGTAGCCACAGCAGGCGTCCTCCTCCTCCTCTTCCTCCTCCTCCTCCTCCTCCTCCTCCTCCTCCTCCTCCTCCTCCCCCTCCCCCTTCCCCTCCGTTTCCGTCTCCTCCTCCTCCTGCTCTTCCTCCTGCTCCTACTCCTCCTACTCCTCCTCCTCCTCCTCCTCCTCCTCCTCCTCCTCCTCCTCCTCCTCATCATCATCATCATCATCAGCATCATCATCATCCTCATTTTCCTCTTATGTTTATTCCTTTGATTATGAGTAGTATGAATAGGAAAGTATATTATTCCGATTAGTAGTGTGTATGATTATCAATGCTAGTATTAGGTCTATTTATTGTATCATTACCTGTACTACTACTCAAGTGTTGTATTATTATTCTCGGTATTACGATTAGCATTCTTATTACGAGTACTTAGTACTATTATTATTAGTATCCCATTCTTAGTGTTATTATTACTCATAGTATTATTAGCAGCCGTATGAATACTACCACTACTACTAGAACTACTACCACTACTACTAACTACTACTACCACTACTACTACTACTACTACTACTACTACTACTTCTACTACTACTACTACTACTACTACTACTACTACTACTAATACTACTACCACCACTACTACTACGACTACTACCACTTCTACAACCAGAACTGTTACTACTACTACTACTACTACTACTATTACTACTACTACTACTACTACTACTATTATTACTACTACTACTACTACTACTACTACTACTACTACTACTACGACGACTAATACGACTACTACGACTACTACTACTACGACTGCTACAACTACTACCACTACTACTATTACTACTACGGCTACGACCACTACTACTACTACTACTACTACCACTACTACTACTACTACTACTACTACTACTACGCATAATACGACTACGATACTACTACTACTCTAGCTACTACTACTACTACACGAGAGTGGACTACAGCAGCACTCCTGTACTCTACTAATAATAATATAATTCTGCTGCTGCTGCTACTAACTTACTACTACTACTACTACTATACCACTACTGCTGCTACTACTACTACTACTACTACTACCTGGACTACTCCAACTACTACAACTACTCCTTCTACTACCCTTACCACTACTAATACGACTACTACTACTACTACTACTACTACTACTACTACTACGACTACTACGACCACTACAACTACGACTGCCAACTAGAACAAATGCTACTACCACTACTACCACTACTACTACTACTACTACTACTACTACTACTACTCGTACTACTACTACCATCACTACAACTACTACGACTTCGACTACTACAACTACTACTAGCTACCACTACCACTACCTCTACCACTACTACTACTACTACTACTACTACTACTACTACTACTACTACTACTACTACTACTACTACTAATATACTGCTACTACTACTACTACTACTACTACTACTACTACAACTA